ATTTCCAATTTAGTAGACCAAGGGTGGGTTAGGAATTTGGATTTCTAACAAGTTGCTGGTTGATACTGATGCTGTTGGACTGGGAGCATACTTTAAAAACCACTAGTCTACATGATATGCTGGAATGGGATTTTTCAATCTTTATATCTTGGGTAAAAAGCATGACTTCTAAAATTGAGGTGGCATCCAAAAATGTCTGTAGAAAGCAGGCATGAATTGGAAACCCTATGAAATAGAGTATTCATTGCAAGACTGTTAGTAAAGATCTGACTACATCACTCTTCCTGTAATAATCTCCCAAGGAAAACCATTCTACCAGGCCTTTTTAGATTGAGTAAGATAGAGCCCCTAGCAGAGGTGGTGCAGAGGACATTCCAGGCAGTAGGAATCCCTCTTTAATAGGAGAGTGACACAACCAGATCATATGTCAGATAACTGATAGTTGGAGGGCAGTTTAAGAGAAAGGAAGAGAGACATATGAGTGGAGTTCCCAGTAGTGAGTGCGGTAACATTGCAAGAAATAATGCTTGGCTAAAGGAAAGTGGCAAGTTAAGAGAAGACAGAAAATTACTAGAGACTTATTAGAAAATTTGAATTCAGAGGATTATGATTCAACAACTAATTAGATAGTATGAAGAAAGAGAAACAAAGAGGCAATAGTGCTATGAAATTTATGCTTAATCCCCTGGGAGGATTGTGAGTGACATCACTTGCTGAAATCAAGAATATCAGGATGACAGATTTGTAGGGTAATTATAATGCACGTGGTTTGGAAACTTTGCTGTGCAGAGTTTGTCATGCCTCTAGGTTTTCCAGGTGAAGATCTTGAGAAAGAAATTAGAAATATCAGTCTACAATAACTCAAGAGCTAAAAATAAAATTAGAAATAATACGCATAAAAATGATATTTGAAGGCACACGGTGGCTGAGATCGACCAAAAGGAGAGCCTAAGAGTGAAATAAAAAGAAACAGGACCTGTGTCGTATAGCTAATATGGAAAACAAAACAAAACAAAACCAAAAAACCTTTAAAATCCAAAATCTTTTAGTTTTGCATTTGAGGTTAAGTTCTCTATTGGATTTTATTTTGTGCCCCTCCCCTTATCATAGTACTTAACAAGTAGTGATTAAACAACTACTAAATATATGAAAAATCCAAGAACATGAAAAATATAAGCATCTATTCAACACAGTGTTAGAAATCCTAGCCAGAGCAATTAGGAAAGAGAAAAAAAAGACATTCGAATTAGAAAAAAGGAAGTCAAATTTTCCCTGTTTGCAAATGATATGATTTTATATGTAGAAAACTCCAAAGATTCTACCAAAAAACTGTTACAACTAATAAATAGCTTCATAAAGTTACACAATACAACATCAACATGAAAAAAAAAACAGTAGCATTTCTATACACTAACAACAAACTGTCTGAAAAAGAAAATATAAAAAAAATACCATTTACAACAGCTACAAAAAAATAGTCAGGAACAAATTTAATCAAGAAGATGAAAGCCTTGTCTGCTGCAAACTATAAAACATTGATGAAAGAAACTGAAGAAGACAGAAATAAAATGTAAAGATATCATGTGTTTATGAATTGGAAGAATTAATACTGTTAAAATGTCCATAATACTCAAAGCAATCTACAAATTCAATGCAATCCTTACCTAAATTCCAATGACATTTTTCATAGAAACAGAAAAAACAATCCTAAATTCATATGGAATCACAAAAACCCTTAATAGCCAAAGCAATCATGAACAAAAAGAATAAAGCCAGAGGCATCACACTACATGATTTCAAAATCAAATCTTAAATTACAAAGCTACAATAATCAAAACAGCATGATACTGGCTTAAAAGCAGTTACATAAACTACTGGAACAGAATAGTGAGCCCAGAAATAAATCCACACATTTATGGTCAATTGATTCTTGACAAAGGTGCCAGGAAAACAAATGGAAAAACTGCAGTCTCTTCAATAAATGGTGCTAGAAAACTAGACATCTACATACAGAAGAATAAAATTAGACCCTTATTTCACACCATATATAAAAATCAACTCAAAGTAGATTAAATAATTAAACATAAGACCTAAATCTTAAAACTTCTATAAGAAAACATATGGGAAGAGCTCTATAACACTGGTCTGGGCAAAGATTTTTTTACATATAACCCCCAAAGCACAGACAACACAAGCAAGTATAAACAAATGGGACTACATGAAACTAAAAAGTTTTTGTACAGCCAAGGAAGCTATCAGCAGAGTGAAGGGACAACCCCCAAAACTGGGTAAAATGTTTGCAAACCATACATTTGATAAGGGATTAAAATGCAAAATATCTAAAGAACTCAACTCAGCAGCAAGAAAACAAATTACCTGATTAAAAAACAGACAAAGGACCTGAATAGATATTTCTCAAAAGATGTACAAATGGACAATAGGTATATAAAAAATGTTCAACATCACTAATCATCAGAGAAATGTAAATTAAAACCATATTGAGATATCACCTCACACCTGTTAGAATGGCTATTATCAAAAAGACAAAAGATAACAAGTGCTGGTAAGGATGTGGAGAAAAGGGAATTCTTGCACAGCATTGGTGGGAATGTAAATTGTTACAGCCATTGTAGAAAAATAGTATGGAGGTTCACCAAAAAAAACTAAAAATAGAACTATCATATGATGATCTAGCAATTCCACTTCTGGGTACCTATAAAAGGAAATTAAATCTGTATGTTGGGGCCGGCCCGGTGGCGCACTGGATAGTGCACCGCTTGGGAAGCGCGGCGGCGCTCCCGCCCGAGGGTTCGGATCCCACATACAGACCGGTTCCCGCTCACTGGCTGAGCGAGGCGCGGGGGCAACGCCGAGGGTTGCGATCCCGTTGCCGGTCCCCGGTCCGGTACGGGGGCAACACTGAGGGTTGCGATCCGTTGCTGGACACGGAAAAAAGACAAAAAAAAAAAAAAAAATCTGTATGTTGAAGAGATAGCTGCACTTCTATGTTCATTGAAGCCTTATTCACAATGGCCAAGATGTGTAATCAACCTAATTGTCCATGAATGAATGAATGGGTAAAGAAAATGTGGTAATGTGGTACACATGCAAAATGGAATACTATTCAGCCTTAAAAAAGAAGTAAATCCTGTCATTTGTGGCAACATGGATAAACCTGAAGGATATTGTTTTAAATGAAATAAGCCAGGCACAAAAAGACAAATACTGCATGATCTCACATACGTGGAATCTAAAAAAGTTGAACTCATGGAAGTAGAGAGGAGAATGGTGGTCACCAGGAGCTGGGGAGAGGTGGGTAGAAAAGGGAGGATTGGGATATGATAGTCAAAAGGTACAAAGTTTCTGTTAGATATGAGGACGGAGTTTAAGAGGTCCGCTGTACGACACGGTGACTGTAGTTAGCAACAATGTACTGTATTCTTGAAAACTGATGTGAATAGATTTTAACTGTTCTCACCACAAAAAATGATAAATATGTGAGGCAGTGCATGTTAATTAGCTCAATTTATCCATTCCACAGTGTATACACATTTCAAAGCATTATGTTGGATATGATAAATATATATAATTATTGGCCAATTAAAAAATAAATAAAAATTTACAAAATATAAGCAACATTTCATGAGATAGTAATTGCTAAATTTAAGAGGAAATTGTCTTCAAATACATTCAAATTATATTTTTATAACATGAAAACATCTAAAAAACACAAACTAGTATTAATTATGTTGGTATTTTAGTTGGCTAATTTATAAAGTATTTTGAAACAATTATTAAAAGAGACCCCATAAAATAATTCTTCATGTGGTAAAACGTAGTTGTATTAAAATTTATTTTGAAATTTAGTCTGTTTTTGAAATGACTTTGTTAGTGAAGCTTTGCTATATTTAGTTTGAAACAAGTCATTTTATGATATGATTAAGCTTAACCTACCTTTGTTGGTTTGCTTCTGAATAAAAGAGATTTTTTGTGACATCTGCTCTTTTTTAATACTGAATAAAACAATTTTCTTTTTTTTCTTTTTTCTTTTTTTTTTTTTGTCTTTTTTGTGACCGGTAAGGGGATCGCAACCCTTGACTCACCGGCCATCCCTATATAGGATCTGAACCCGCGGCGGGAACGCTACTGCACTCCCAGCGCTGCACTCTCCCGAGTGAGTCACCGGGTCAGCCCATAAAACAATTTTCTGATGTCACTTTATCTAAGCATAGCCCATTCCTCCATATACCCTACCACATAAAGACAAACTTATATTCATGTTTAAACAAAACAATACTTTTTGCCACATATTTATTGACCACAAGGATAGTTTCTCTTTTAAAAATCAAATCTATAAAGTTTTAAAAATGACTAATTGTGTACATTTTCACCTGCTTTTACGAGGTTAAAAATTTAATTCTATGTTTCCTTTTAATGCCCCAGCAACTTTTAAATAATAGTATTGGAAGCATTTATTTCAAATGAAGATTTGTATCAAGAAAAAATTTATTAGTGTGGAATTGGGGATAAAATTCAAAAGGGTGATAATATGTTATTGGTTTTCCTTGTTTCTTATTGTCCTAAGTTCTCTTCATCTCTGTGCCCTTTTTACTTTTTACTTCAGTTATAAAATCTAATATAATATATATCTTTTGCTTCCCAAAAGATGCAAAGCTAATGTTCTACACACAAAGAATCTGAGAACAGGCAACAAAAAAAGAAAACTAACCAGGAAATATGAGGCATCAGATTGATTTGTCAAGTTCCTCATAATAATAACCACTGAAATACTTTAGGCGATATAGAAATATGTCATCTTGATACATCTGGATCAGTTATATACTCAGAAGAGGAAAAATGTTATTTGTTTTGATAGATTATTAGGAAAAGAGAAATCACAAGGAAAACACATTAGAAAATGGTATTTTATTTCCTCTATCCTGGTCTGAATAAAGAGCTAGAAGACAAGTGACTGTGAGGTTGCCCTAAACACTTCTCACCTTGCTGCTGCTGTGTTTCTTTTTGCTCACCGAGGGTGACCCTGGTTGCCCAGGGCTGGGAACAGAACTGGATCCTGCTGATGTAGGACCTGAATGAACATGAGACCCTTTCTCAACGACTGATGACAGAACCAGTGGTGACTGCTGCAGCGAAACCTTCTGGAGCTCTGCTGCCAGCTGCTTAGGATCAACCCCTGGCGATTTTGCTTTATCCACTACAACAAAATGAAATGGTTTACATATGTCTCCATTCCATAGGTACTTAAAACCATATAACTTATTTGAGTTCTAGGTAACAAAGTCATACTATTACTTATAAAATAAGCTAAAAAATTAAATTAATTAATTGCACCTTTATGTATTAATTTCTAAGGAAGTCTAGAAGGCTCAGAGATGAGTAACGTAATGCTGAATTACAGAGGGAAACTTCCTATTGAAGTTCCTATTACATTTTCAGAAAAATGTTTTTAATGTTTTATACAGGAAACTGCATACATGACACAATATCTTATTTAATCAATCGGAACTTAATCTATATGACTGGCTATTTTTTCTTTATATCTTACATATCTCTTTCTCTAAGAGGACTATTTCAAAGAGTGTATTTACATGTATTGATGTTTTAAAATTCCTCTAGGACTTGGTCTGTCCTGTTTAGTGCAGTAATCCAGGCTCTTTGAATTGTGACTATAGCATAGGACGTGCTCAATAAAATTTTATTAAACAAAAGAAAAAGTGATATTTAAAATCTTACAATTAATCTATTAACTTTGTAGGTTATATTTGTCATCTAAGAAGGAGTTAGATCTATTTTATCACATACTTAATGAAATTACATGTTGATCTTTATTATAAAAGGCAGTCAAAAGGTTCAGGAAAAAATGTTCTAAGACCCTGTTATGATAATAAGAATCAAGTATTAGCTAAAAATTATATAGGACTAAAAATAAATGGCTCCATGGATTAGTTTCACAGGATAAATTTATATTTAAAGAATTGAAAATGTGAACTTACCCAGCAAGAATTTCATAGGAACTTCTTTAATGGGTCTAACATGCAAATGTGTTTTCCCAGGATGCAAAAAATGTAGCTACAATGCTTCTGATTGTGCTTACAATTATATAAATAAATATATCAGTTTATCTCTGTCTATATCTATGTTTATGTCTATATCTTCTTCTGTAACTACATCTGCCCCTACAACTACTTCTACATTTTTACACAGAGTTGAAAGCAAATTGCTTTCACCTACCAGCTTTTGGTGGTTCATGAAGTTCCAGATGCTGTGGGTTTTCAGAATCTGATAGCATATTGAGGTCCCTAAAAATTAAAACATAATATTAAGAAAGAAATTGAGGAAGCCTGACAGAAAAGACACTTTTTTCCAACTACCCTGAATTTTTTTTTCAGTAAGTTAATGAGAAGTGGTTAATGATATAAAGCAACTCCAAAGCATGCTCACCCTTCTAACCCAATATATATTTGCAATGCTGTTAAAAGTCAGAGCTGATAAAAATGATTATTTAAGGTGAAATCTTTATGGATTAAATGTAAGTTCATCTTGAAATATTATACACATCCATGAAATCTAAATGGGTTCAGGCTTTCATTAAAATAAAGTATGTTTCAATAAAAGCATGAAAGGGGAGAGCTATTGACATAATCAGAAACTAAATTAGCTGAATTCTTTCTATGCTTTATACTTTGATTCTGAACACAAGAAATCTATAAAACTTGTATTCATTTTATTTTCTAATTACAGAAAATCTTGCTGACTGTCAAAGGTTCCACCTTAACAATTTTAAATTAAAAGAGCCATGAATAGCCAAAAAATGGAAACAGAAAGATGGGGAAAAACTCACAGTCTTACACATATTTCTGCTTCCCCACTTTGCTGATTGATGACACTCTGTACTTCTTCATATGTTTTAGAAGTTAAGGGAATTCCATTCCATTCCAATACTTGCATCCCTAAAAAGACAAATTTGAGTATAAAATCAAACATGTGTGCTGTCTATATTCTGAGTCCATACGGCATAGAAGATGATAATTCATTGCATAGAAAAATCAACTCAGCACACCATTGCAGAGAAAATCAGTTCAAAGTTCTCTGGAACATTAATTCCAAAACCATTATGTAGTTTGGACTCATCAACTTACCTGAACACACAAAATATGTTTAAAACAACATGCAAAATTTTGCTTTTGAAAATATTTTAAGTATTATCAAACGCATGCATTCTGTTCACACTGCTATGAGGAAAACATTACTGAATATGTATGGCTTAGACCAATTTCATAAAGAAAAATACCCAAACAATTACAACCACCAGTATAATTTTCCTGTGGGGAGCAAGCTACTAGAAGAGTTTAAAGGTTCGTTTCCTACCATGGAATGGGAGTGGTAGAAAAAGTCATTAGGATTTCCTTGTGAAGCTCCCCTCCAGAAACTGTTGTAGCTTTGACTTTGCCCAGATAAAACAGATTGGCACGTTGTGTCTTTTTCTTCACTGCATGCCAAATATTCCTGAACAGAATAGCAGGAACGTTACAGGAGGAACACCTGCTTGGGTCTGTGACTTGTGCAGTCCTAAGTCCCTGTGCTCAGAAAGGCTCCATGCTTGGTTCAATGCTCTGCTGTTACTATCTTGAAATTCTTAATAATGTTTAAACAAAGAGCCCACATTTTCATTTTGCACAGGGTCCTGCAAACTATGCAGCTGGTTTGGTCTGGTTACAGGGCATTTCATTTTTCCTGCCTATCTAGAAAGATAATTTCAAACAAAAAAGAATAGTAGTAACATAATTAATATCTCAACAGTTTACTTCTAGTTCCTTAGGTCCATTTTAAATGAGAGGTCAAAATAATTTAGGGATGCATATTTGGCATAACTCACATTGTCCTAATACGTGGCTGTGTGAACTGGATATAAATTAGATGAAACTATCCAATGTAGTACCCAAATATTTTTGAGTGCTACCAGCTTCAACCGAGAAAAATGTCTGTATGCCATAACTAGGCTATAAATTAAATAAAAATAAATAATTGTTGAACAATTAGATTTTTTATGAGCTTCACAGACGCTAGTGTGAAATTTTCCAATGTTCACCATTGGCCTCAGTGGGAAATTCTAAACGTGGCATGATTGAATCATTACATGGGAAATTCTTTTACACCAGAGTGAAATAGCAAAAGAAGTTCATAAAAAGGCTCAAAACAACACAAACAAGAATGACTTTTCTATAACTTACTCCAAGAAAACTTTATCTTCAGATAGGCTTTAGGTTTATTTCAACAACCCCAGGCTGTTGTATACACAAAATAAGAAAATCATGTAAAAGACAGTGACAATACCACTAAAAAATGTAGCACACTGAAAGAGGAAAACAGAACACTTTTTTTTTTAAGTTAGGATAAAGAGTATGTTTATAAAAAGAAGATTTTTGAGTTGAAAAAGATTAATGCTACTATATCCAGAAATCGCATTGCCACATTTCTACAGGAGCATATGAAAAGAAATACTCACATATTTTTATGCTTTTTCTGTTGGATTTACCTGTTTTTTAATCTCAAAACAAAAGGGCAAATTTGCAAAACACGATTATCTAGTGAATTTTAAAAATGCTTCTAGTCATAAAAAGGAAAATTACGTAGTATTATTATTAAAATTGCTGGAAAAATTACACAGATAACTAGGGTCTTACTTAGACTTACACCTGTGATCATAAATTATGTGATCTGGTCTGTCCCATGATAGGCCAGCAGAACTTCTTTCCCCCTTCCTCAGTTTCCCACAAGAGTTGGTACAGTACTGCAGTTCAAAAGATGCTGCCAGGTTTTTGATCCTGGCTTTGTGCCCGTGGTCAAACACTACAAAGAAGGTGACTACTTGAATAATCATTTAATAACACTTCCCCTTTCCACTGTTTCTCTAACTTCCTACAAATCCTAGAAGAACCATACTAAAATAACAAATGAAATATACAAGTTACTTCATATTTATTTCATAAGACAGTTTTAGTACTGTGAGAGTTAAATATGATATTTCAAATATGACATATTTAAAAAATATTTAATTGTAAAATCCTTTACTTAAAATTGCATGCTTAAAAATGCATGCAAAAATTTGTAGAAAATTATTATACTCTGTTGAAGTTCAATAAAGTTGTATATTTCACTCATTTAACATGTTTGAATTTGAATGTAAACATTTGCAATCTTAAAATAGCTTTTTACACTGACGTTTTAGGAAGATTTCCTGGAAGATAGAGCGCACATGAATGATGATATTTATTAAGTATTATGAGAAAACTTTTTTATATTTAAATTGCATCAAAGTGTGTGTTAAACAATTGGTTAAGTTTGAGAGTGCACAAATGATACTTCAATTATAACGGCAGAAAGAACCTATCTTAATAGCGTCTAATAGGAAAATTAAGACATAATCTGGAGTTTTGCTGAATGCACAATAGTGATGATAAAATTTCTTGTTCAAAATCTCTAACTTGATAGGTTCCTAAACACCAAAAAAGGCAAAAATCAGGTAATTCTAGAACTTTTAAAAAATCAAGCAACATAAAACATTCTCAAGTATATGCTCTCATAAATTCCAGGATTACTGAGTTTCGTGTGCTCCTTAAACTGGCAAAAACTATTCTTATCTTTATATACAAACTTTCCTCTCATGTTATTTCTTGGTCTATATTTAATATTTACCATTACATCATAAACATCATATAGATTAAAATTATTCAGTTAACAGTCAAAATCTTACAGGTTACTGTATATCCAAACATATCACACAAAAGCTCATAATTTTTTATTTTATTCATTCACAGTATTTTTCTAGCACCAGTTATGTGGCAGGCACTACACAATTCATCACATTTACTTATGTCTAATATTTTATGCTGTTATATAAATTAATAAAAAATGGTACTCAAGTAGAAAAAATTAGAAATATCTTGGCAATTAGTAAAATAAAGGTGATTCATAGAAGAGAATATTCAAAAGTGTTGCAAGTATATGAAGAAAATCCCAGATTCATTAATGATCAGGAGTACAATTTAAAGCAATAATGGCATATTACATAACTCTCATCATATTGGGAAGAGTTCAAAAGCCAGAAAATGCCATGGTTAACGATGATGTGAGAATAGGGGGCCTCCATTTCATAAAGGGAGGTTATACTTACTAGATGGTCATTCCAGCTTATTCCAGCTCTGATGTGAGATTACTATGACTATGACTGGATTAAAAAAACCCCAAAAAACAAAACAAAAAAACCACAACTGCTTATTTACAATTTATAAACATGTAATAATTTTAATGAGAATGCAGATGAATGCAACAGTTCTGGAGGGTAAGCTGGCAAAATATAGTTAAATTATGCACATGTATGCCCTGTCACCTCCACATCGTCTTCTTGGGTATCTATCTGTGGGGAGGTGGAGGTATCAGGAGAAATGAGCACTGGGAGTATATTAAATTCTCACAGTGAAAATACTTGGTAGAGGTTGAAAGAAACTGACCATACAAGGTGTTAACGTCAGAAGGTGGATCCATCTTAAAAATTTTGCCAGGTAAAAATAAGTGAGAAACATAATTTGTTCTATAGGGCAATGCTATTTATGTAGATTTAGATGATATGTACACAAAATAGCATTATATATTTTACACGTAAATAACAGGTATCACGTAAATTGTAATAGTTGCCCATGGAGGGGAGAGGGGAAAGGGAAAAGAAAATAAGATTTTTAAAAAAGAATGAGTTAGTAAATGAATAAATAAATAACCAACACACATACATAGGAGCAGACCTTGCATGAGCCAATAAGGTTGGTATGCTATGAAATGAGAATCTGATGCAGATGGGGTTCAAGAAAGAAAAAAAGTTCAAACCTAAATAATAAAAAAATATACAAATATATGTAAGTTAATTGCAATGTGTTTTACATTTTCCACACTAATATAGTAACCACGACTATATATGAATTCCCCAAATATGGACAATGACTCTTAGGAATTTTCTGTAAAAGAGGAGCAGCAATAGCAGCAAAAAATCAGCTGAACTTATCCTCTCACAGGCTTACTCAATAGCAAACAACCCCTGCAAGTTGGCTTTGGGATCCAACATGTTGTCCATATGTTATACTAATTGCTCATTCATTTTTAGTTAAGTAGTGTTAATATATGAGAAATACATAGATAGGTAGATAGATACATTTTATTCTTTACAAAAATTACATTTCATGTATTTTACAATTTTGAACTGTTTATACAAGTACATTAATGTGAAAGGAAGAAAGGATGAAAGAAAGAAAGAGGTTAAAAAAATGAAGGGAGGAGATCACACGCCCTGTGGTGCCAGTGTGCAACCCAGCAGGTAGGGCTCACTGCCGCTGGACTCCATGCCCAGCCTGGCCGAGTGCACACTGACCAGAGAGGCACCCCACTGGAGAGGTCCTAGATCTGCAGAGACCACACACCCCACAGTGCCAGTGCACGACTGAGCAGGTAGGCCACACTGCCGCTGGGCTCCATCACAAGCCCAGCTGAGTGCATGCCGACCAGAGAGGTGCCTCCCTGAAGAAGCCCAAGACCCAAGTTGACCATGCACCTGAGGTGCAAGTGGGCAACCAAGCAGACACTGAGGCAGCCATGCCAAATTGGCAGCCCCAGAAGCATCTTAGCCAGACAATACTGTTGCACCAGTGGACAATGAAATCCCCTGCACAATGACTAAACATCAAAGGAAAGATACCAGAAATATGAAAAATCAAGAGAGTACACCACCAAAGGATAATAACTCTCAAATTCTAGATCCTATAGAACAGGAAGCTTTTGAAATGTCTGACAAGGAATTTTGAGTGATAATTCTATGGAAACTAAATGAGATACAAGAAAACTCAGCTAGACAACATGATAAAATGAGGAAAAGTATACAGGACCTGAAAGAAGAAATGTACAT